GTATAAACGATTTGGATGAGAATATAGAAGGCATGGTTAGTAAGTTTATGGATGACACCAAATTTGGTGGCATAGTAGTCAGTGAAAAAGGTTTTGTAAGATTACAAAGGGATCTTGATCAAATGGGTGAATGGGCTAAAAAATAGCAAGTGGAGTTCAATCTGGATAAATGAGAGGTATTGTATTTTGGTACAACATACAAACGTAGGGCTTATACAATTAATGGTAGGGCCCTGGGTAGTGTTGTAGAACAGAGGGACCTAGGGGTGCAGGTACATAACTCTTTAAAGTTTGTGTCACATATAGACAGGATGGTTAAAAAGATGCTTGGCATGCTTGCCTTCATTGCTCAGTCCTTTGAGCGTAGGAGTTGGGAAGTCATGTTCAGGTTGTACAGGACATTGGTGAGGCCTCTTCTGGAATATTGTGTCCAGTTCTGGTTGTCCAGTTATAAGAAGGATATTATCAAGCTGGAGAGGGTTCTGAAGAGATTTGCCAGGTATGGAATGTCTGAGTTATAAAGAAAGGCTGGATAGGCTGGGATGTTTCTGACTGGAGTGTAGGAGATTGAGAGGCGACCTGACAGAAGTTTATAAAATAATGAAACGTATAGATAGCATTAATGGTAGTTGTCTTTTCCCAAGGATGGGGGAATTTCAAGACTAGCGGACATATTTTTAAGGTGAGAAGAGAGAGATTTTAGAAAGACATGAGCAGCATTTTTTTTTTTACAGAGGGTGGTTCGCGTGTGGAATGAACTTCCTGAGGAAGTGGTGGATGCGGGTACAATACAACGTTTAAAAGACATTTGGATAGACGAAGAGGACAGTTATGAAGGGATATGGGCCAGGAGCAGGAAGGTGGAACTAGTTTAGTTTGGGATTGTTTGGCATGGACTGGTTGGACCGAAGGGTCTGATTCCACGCTGTATGACTCTATGACTCTAAGTGACTCTAGGGGCGGGTATTCAGCTTTTCAATACGTTTGTCAATTACGTAGGTGAACAAAAAGCTATACAGCCAAGTTTAGTGATAGGAATATCCTAAGTTGCAGTGCAGGTAGTGCAACTGGTAAAGGGTCTTCATAGGTTAAGCAGGTGGATAAAATTGTGCAACTGAATTTCAGTATGGAAAAATGTGAGATAACATCTACTCTGGACCTAGGATTAAAGAAAGCTTGTCTTAAATCAGTTTTGAATGAGGTATTATTTTCTATAGGTAAACACTGGAAAGACTAAAGACTTTCAGCTGCTGCCTCAAAGTTTGTACTCTCCCCAAAATAAAATCGATTCCCATACCTTAAGCAATGTTTCAGACAGACTGTTCACTTGCACCATGCTTTATTTAGCACTGATTCCCCTCTACATTTACTGGGTAAGCTTAACTACATGCAAATCTGTAGTCCTATTTGGCTCTGAACCGAGCCTCTGATCCTGTATATACTCCATCTGCACTTAAAATGTTCATTCTATCATTTCCATTCAGCACGATTCCCATTATCCCTTGGACATACTTCTATCTTCTATAATATCAACTTATCTTAACCTCTTCTGATCTTATCCTGCTCGAGCCCAGCATGGTCTATGCTTATCTAGATTTGCTACCAGTTATAGAACGGTATTGAAATGCTCATTCTTGTTGCACTTATTAGTTGATGTGAAATATCCATTGTAAAAAGTCTACCATCCGTGTTTTTACGAAATCTAATTTCTTATGACTCAGGCATCTTGAGCATTCTGCAACTCTTCTCTTCAGCACTGGTGGCCCGGTATTTAGATTCCCAAGCTCTATCATTTATTGTTTCATCCTAAACCCCTCCATCTCACTATTTCTCTAAGATATGTTACAAACATCAGGGTATTAAGGTAGAGTAAATCAAGATTAGAAGTAAGAAGAACAGAGGAATAAGTCATTCTGTCTTTTGAGTATTGTCTATCATTCAACAAGGTCATGGCTAATCTTCAACCTCAATTCAATGTCCCCATCCTATTCCCATTTCACTTGATTCTGTTCAATATGTCTGTCAATCTGACAATATTAATCTTCTAAGTGGTTCAACAAACCCAGCCCACCACTTGCTGGGATACAGAATTCCAAAGTTTTTTAACCATTTGAGTGACAAAATTTGTTCTCATCTCAGCCCTAAGTAGCTGAGCCTCTTTACAAACACTGATATTTTGGGACATGGATTAAAACCCACCATGGGAACTGGCAATATTTCAACTCACTAAAATCTGAAATTAAAAGACTAATAATTACCATGAAATCGTTACTGATTGTCATAAAACCCCACCTGATTCACTTATGATTCAAGGAAGGAAATCTGCCCTTATTACCAGGTCTGGCTACATGTAACTCCAGACTCACAGCAATGTGGTTGACTCTGAAATAGCCTAGAGAGCCACCTCAGTGGTAACAATCACAAGGAAGTCTCAACAAAGGAATTAAATCAAACACATTACCTGTTGTCGATCTAGGCACTGGAAACAATGCCAAACACAGCCCTAATGACCCTGCAAAATCCTTCTCAGCAACATCTGATTGGGAGAGATGTCTCATGGACTGTTAAGCAACAGTATGTGTAATGGACACTCAAACCCACTCAAAACATCTCAAAGAAATAGCCTAGACCCTAAGATTTTCTTATTTTAGAGGCAAGTGCCAGGCATTGCATTCAGATGCAATTCAAATGGTCAAGTTACCAGGTTTGAAGCAAAACACACTTTATTAATACATTATAGTTAAAATATTGACAAAATAAAAGTAAAAGGATTGGCCTAACTGTAACTCTATCAGGATACTTAACAAAATAATAAACTAGTCATAAACTGTTCCAATATATTAACATATAAGGAAGATATAGATGGTCCAATTAGCAAGTTTGCAGATGACACTAAGATTGGTGGAGTGGCAGATAGTGAAGGGGACTGTCGGAGAATGCAGCAGAATATAGATAGATTGGAGAGTTGGGCGGAGAAATGGCAGATGGAGTTCAATCCAGGAAAATGCGAGGTGATGCGTTTTGGAAGATCCAATTCAAGAGCAAACTATACGGTAAATGGAAAAGCCCTGGGGAAAATTGATGCACAGAGAGATCTGGGTGTTCAGGTCCATTGTACCCTGAAGGTGGCAACGCAGGTCAATAGAGTGGTCAAGAAAGCATACGGCATGCTTTCATTCATTGGACGGGGTACTGAGTACAAGAGTTGGCAGGTCATGTTCGACCTTGGTTCTTTGGTCTTTGGTTCGACCACATTTGGAATACTGTGTACAGTTCTGGTCGCCACATTACCAAAAGGATGTGGATGCTTTGGAGAGGGTGTAGAGGAGGTTCACCAGGATGTTGCCTGGTATGGAGGGTGCTAGCTATGAAGACAGGTTGAGTAGATTAGGATTATTTACATTAGAAAGACGGAGGTTGAGGGGGGACCTGATTGAGGTCTACAAAATCATCAGAGGTATAGACAGGGTGGATAGAAAGAAGCTTTTTCCCAGAGTGGGGGACTCAATTACTAGGGGTCACGATTTCAAGGTGAGAGGGGAAATGTTTAAGGGAGATATGCGTGGAAAGCTCTTTACGCAGAGGGTGGTGGGTGCCTGGAATGCGTTGCCAGTGGAGGTGGTAGAGTTGGGCACGATAGTGTCATTTAAGATGTATCTAGACAGATACGTGGAATGGACAGGGAGCAGAGGCTTACAGATCCTTGGAAAATAGGCGACAGGTTGAGATAGAGGATCTGGATCGGCGCAGGCTTGGAGGGCCAAAGGGCCTGTTCCTGTGCTGTAATTTTCTTTGTTCTTTGCTCTTTTCTAACATCTTATAGACATACCTTTCGCAAAAACAAATCCAGAAAAATTTATTGTCTTGCCTGCAATTCTAGCAGCAGGAAGAAAATCCAAGCCTGTAGCTGAAGCAAACAGCAGGAGAGAGAGAGGGAGCTAGAGAGCGAGCATGCGAGGGCAACAGAGAGAGTGACAGCACGTGAGAGTGTGAGAGCACGAGCACGAGAGCCTGAGAGTGAGAGAAACAAAGACAGCGACAGTGACAGAGACAGAGAGAGCGATAGAGACAAAGGCAGAGACAGATGTAGCATTTTTCACAACCCCAACAGTTACTGAAAGCTAAATGAAAAATCCTGGTTCTGTGGGGGGGCTAACCTCACCCTTCAAGGCTGCTTCTATTGTTCCAACTTTTAAAAACCGAAGGCCTCACAAGCTGTTTACTTTATTGGCTTGAACCAGACTGCTGAACACCTCTGTCTCAACCTCTCTTCATTAAAATAACGACAAAATAAGCTTCTTAAAGCCATAGTATCATCACATATGTCTTAGTCATAATTACCGAGTAGTATCTTACATACACTGTCATTGTCAATGCCATCACCATTGCTGGTATGTCCTGTCCCACCAATAGCTAGATACAGCAGCGATGATAGGACTGTAGTATACAGTTGGGGAGGAGTTTCCCTTGGTGTCCTCAACATTGCCTCTGGACCCCATGAAGTCTCATGTTGCCATGTCAAACGAGGAAACCTTCTGCTGATGACCATATACTGCAACACCTGCTCCACCCCCTACTTTCTGCAAGTGAATCAGTTCTATTTATGTTGAAAACCACTTGTTGGAAGCATTGAGGGTGGCAAGAGTGCAGAATGTATTCTGTGGGGTGGCAGGGGATCTGCAATGTCCATTACCAAAAGTGGCTTGACAATACCACTACTGACTTTACTAATATTAATGACATTAAGTTCTTCACTGTCATTAAACCCTAGTTCCCTTATGATTTTTCCAAGCAAATAAAACAATCAACTTTTTTGAAAGGTATTTAAATGAAACACAGCACAATGCAACTTGATCATAACTATGATACTGTGAAAAAAAAACAAGCAGCAAAGGCAAATGCATGAGAGAAAAAAATCTGTCGGTCCAACATACAAATATGGCAAAGTATCTGAGCCTCAGAAATATCCTGCTCCAAAGAAGAGGTGGAAACTTGCTTACCTCGACTGTAAGCTGCTTGTAGTAGCTAGACCCAAACATGAGGTTTTCAAGATTAAGATTTGATACATTCGGTTCCATCTCATGACCACTTTTCCCAAGCCAGATCCCTTTGCTTAGTCGAGGGAAACTAAGGGGCAAAAACAAATGCTAGTGTAATTGAAGAATGTACATAGCTCACATCACTGTTTTGTGTATGGGGTTATCAGATGACATTTTGTGCTCATTTAGGTGAAGGATGAAAGTACTGGGAGTGGAAGATTTATCTTCCCTCACCTCTTCCTACTTTTAAATACAGTGAATGTAGTATCAAATATTCCCCAGGTCAGATACAACAGGAGGAAGCAGCTTTTTCTACAATGTGCCAATGTTTAGCCATCACTAACTGTGGAGCACAGTTGGGTATAAGTTAAATGCGTTTGCTAATGCAACCTGCTTGATTGACGTGTAAAGGAATTACCTGGAGATTTTTTAATACAGCAATATTTGTTTTTGTTTTCCCAATCAACACTGCCCCACATGTCCACAAAAAAAATTGTCTGTGAAAGTAACCTCTGCCTGTTGGTCAAATACAGACAAGTACTGTGGTTTTGCTTGGAGCCCACAACAGTTTAGGATCTTACCATGAGGATATAAATAGGTATGACCTTATGTTCTGTGGCTCCCTGGCAAAGCAGTGTGTGCCAATGAGTCAACCTCTTCTCTGTTGCTGTTATATCAAATGCCATTAATACAAAGTACTGCCAATGCTAGAAATATTAGGAATAAGAACCAAAAAAAGTTGGAAAAAATTTAGCAGATCAGTTAGCATTTATGGACACAAGTAGAGTTAACGTTGCAGATCGATAAATAAATTATTGACATGAAACACTGACCCTGTTTCTCTCTACAGATGCTGCCTGGCATGATGAATTTTTAAAAGATCTTTTTGTTCTTGTCAATAATGATATTTTGCTTTGGGAAGAATCATACTACCACTATTGCTGTGCAAACTGTTTGGAGCACTAAGTGGTCACACATCTAAAGACATCCCTTGAAAGCATGCAGAAAGTATAGCAATCGCATTCACCATCGTACCTTATCAAGGGCTGGTGTAAAGCAACAAGTGCTGCATGCACAGTAACGGAAATGACAGAGAGGTGGAAATAGTCAAACATCACAGGTACGTGATGATGTAAGCCCCTCCTGGGATGGAAGTGAAGACCCAGTCTTCGGCTGCTGATCAAGGGTATTCCTGCAATGTCACTCAACCTGTGGGCAAACAGAAAACAGGTTTTAGATGTTACTGGGAAACAGCCTGACTAAGATTATTCGACATTGGGCAAAAGCCACTTTAAAAATCCTGGAATGATTTTTATGCATCCCAAGTTACTATTCTAAAACAGAAATTATAATACATTAAATTAGCAAAAAAAACATAATTATTTATTTTGTGTAAACAGAGAAATCAAAATTACAGAGACATAAGGAGTTCCTGTTTGTTTGGTTCTAATGTTCACAATCCACTGAAGTTTCTAACCCATTCTGTGACGCCAAACCCGAAACAGTGTATTCTCCATTTCATGTACCTGTTCAGTTATGAAGAACTATCCAGTTCTGATTTTTAAGAAGCACACTAACACTGCTTCAGGGTAGATGTTGCAAACAGAAAACAGTGTGTGAGTAACTGGAAAGAAATACAAGAAATCGTTGTGAATTAAGCCTCAGACTACAAAGTAGCAGCAAGATTGAAAGGAGTAAGGAAGAAAGCATGATAAAATAAATAAATCTCAGGTTAGGTGGTGAAATTCAGTTTTAAAAGCCGGGCATTTGGGGTATCTGATAGGGAAGGAGCTTTCTGGTCATGGCAATTGCATTGTGTGGAATGACCATTGATTCAGTTTCACCAAATTGGTATGTACTTTTAGCTTACCTTTTCAAAAAAAAAACATTTTTCAGTGTTCAGCAGTTTCTACAAAATGGTAAATATTGTTGACTTTTGTATATGTCATTTCTTCCTCTCCCACAGTTATAAACCAAAGACAGCAGACAGCAAAACTGCCTTAAGTGCACTCTTGGATTCAGATAAATGATTGCAACAAAAAAAGTTAAAAAGTTTCAGCTTCTTCTACTCTTCCTATTCCTCTTGTTTAATGAAACCATAACTTGTGTTGTCAAAACAGGCCCACAGCAAGAACAAAAGTCAAAACATTTGTATAGTGTCAACTAACATTCATACGTAGAGAAATGAATGGCATGCCCAGAATCATAGATAACACAGTGTGGAGCTGGATGAACACAGCAGGCCAGGCAGCACTGGAGGAGCAGGAAAGCTGACGTTTCGGGTCCTCCAGCTCCACACTGTGTTATCTCAGACTCCAGCATCAGCAGATCTTACTACCTTCTCATGCCCAGAATCATGCTCACTTCTGCACTGTTACACATAGTGAAGTACATTAGTCACATTTCAAAATGTCAGGAGTGCACATTTTGCATCTAAGTGAAAAAAATTATTGGATCGTAATTATAATCAGCCCGTGATATAATTACGTTTTCTAAATTTAACTTTTGAATACACTGATGACATCTTATTATAGATCCATCCTATTGAGTTTTACTATACTTCAGTCATTTACTGTTTCTAATTTAAGTGAAATGTCAACATCATAATGTGTGACAGGACATTTGCAACAATTAAACTCAGACTCACAGTATTAATGGATAAATATCTGGGCCAATCTAACTTAGATTTGCAGTAATTGGCACTCACTGCACAGGATACCCCAGCCAAAACAACACCGACACACAGTAAATATATGCTCTTTCTCAAGCTGCATGCACATTGCTCACATCCACACAGATGTAATTTATTTCTCATTTACATATTTTGTGATGAACTCTATTATTTGTGAAGACAAGAGCAAAAACGCTAGAGATCTGCTGTCTGCACTTTGATCTCAAGGCCTGTATTTTTTGAGTCAGGCCATAATCGATAAAGAAACAAAACCTCAAGTTTCTGACAAAAGGGAAGGTCGAGGCTTAAAAACACAGAGCTCTCAGAGATCAAATTTCAGCTGGAGGTCGAAGCAAAGTAGGCTGTGGGGAGTTCTGTGTACAGAATGAAAAACTGAAGTCTGGGTTAAGCAGCAGGGATTGTGATAAAGATATACTGCTGCTCTTTCATTTCTTTTACCAGAGCCAACCACATAGTGTATCACTGGGGCGTTATTGAGTGATGGGATGAAGGTGACTCTGGGAATCTATGCCATCAGCACTGTTGAGGACCAAGCTAAGAAGGTGTGACAAAGGTTAACCATGGAACCTGGATGAGGTTAATCTTCTGCAGAAGTCAGCACACTGGCCAATTCCGGTGGGAAATAAAAGAATTGAACTCTACTGAAAGTTATACAGAAGTCTGAAAGTCTTTGTGGCTATACATTGTGTTACATATGCCAAAAGCAATTCCGGTAAATCTGTGGGATCATTGTAATATTCGCTATTTTACTGAATACAATTTGCCTGTTAATTCATGCTTATGTTCTGTTCATTTTGGTTTGATTGTTGAAACAGAAATTGTACAGGTTCCTAATGTATTGATGCCATCTTGACCTCTTCATCTCCTGCTTTAATTCCATGATTGTTGTGTACAATAAGTGTTGTTCCATTTCAAAGCCATTAATAAAATGGTGTCAATAAATCCATGTAATGTTGCGAGTCATTTCATAATTTGCCAAAGATGTCACATTCCACAGCTCAGAGATAGCAAGAACTGCAGATGCTCTAGTCAGAGACAACACAGCAGGCCAGGCAGCAGAAGAGCAGGAAAGTTGATATTTCGGGTCAGGACCCTTCTTCAGAAATCGGAAGTGGGAAGGGAGCTGGGAAATAAATAAGGAGTGGGGTTATGGAAGGTAGGTAGGAATGTGATAGGTAGGAAATGGTGGGGATTGGTCAGTGGGAGGTTGGGGTGCGTAGATGGGAGAGAAGATGGACAGTTTGTGTCAGGTCAAGGAGGTGAGGATGAGAGGGAGGGTTGGACATGGGATGAGGCTGGGGATGGGGAGATTTTAAAACTGGAGAATTCCATGTTTAGGCCATCGAGCTGTAGTCTCCCAAGGTGGAATATGAGGTGTTGGTCCTCCCATTTGTGGGTGATCTCATTCCATGTCCAACTCTCCCTCTCATCCTTGACTTGACACAGCCTGTCCAACTTCTCTCCCATCTACCTGCCCCATCCATCCCACTGACTAATCCCCACCACTCCCTACCTGCACTCATCTATCACCATTCCACCTACTTTCCCCAGCCCCACCCCTCCTCTCTATTTATTTCCTAGCTCCCTTTCCCCTCCCTATTTCTGAAAAAAGGCCCTGATCCGAAACATCAACTTTCCTCCTCCTGGCCTGCTGTGCTCCTCCACCTCCACACTGTGTTGTCCCACATTCCACAGCTCGCTGTGCAAGTTCCCTTTTCCCTAGTGCTTTGGTTCTTTCCCTCTGATCTGAAGTTCTTATTCCTCATGCTCTTGTTTCCACCCTCCATTTTTATTTTTAAAATTCCCAGTGTCCACTGCAGTCATTGCAGGCTTCAGGAGGTCCTCCAACTTTGCCCTGGCATCCAGTCTGGATCCTGGCCTTAGCATCTACCCCGATTCCCACCCCTCCTGCCCTTGCCCTCATTCTCTCTTCTCCCTGTCCAAAGTTCACATTCTTACATTTAAAATACCTGGTGTATGTTGCCACTAATGCTTTAGCCGCTTCTCCTCTTCTGGCTGCTGAACCCACACTGAAGTTCTGGGTTCTATTTAGTGCCAGAAGTTGGTCAGTGCAAATACTTCTGGAGCTGTATCTGCTGCCAACTTCTACCACTGGTCAATATAAACATACAATCAGTGGGTGAATTTTTTTTTCCAATACTCTCCGTTTGACCTTTCAGTTCCACCTTGCACAACTCCAGGCCTTCTCGCATCATGTGTGTATATAGCTAATCCACACCAACTAACATTCTTCTTTGTCTCTGACACTTTCATATCAACTTTAAATTCTTTGCCCTTTTCCTGTAAATCTTTAAAGGCCTTATTCCACCATTCTTCTGCAATCATCTCTAGTCTTATTTTACAACTTGAACCCTCTACTTGAGTTATTGTAAACACCTGTTTGCTACACCATTGGTAAGAGAGATTTCAGCTTCTACATCTTTTGCTATGCACTGTTCCCTTCCAATGGTTATTGCTCCACTTCTAGGTGTTTTGGAGTGTTTTGTTACATGAAAGGTGCTACATAAATGCTTGTTGCCATTATCATCAATAGGGGAGGTCATTAATACATCCAAACCAGAGATGTACAACTGATTCAGAATATCAGTCTGATTATCATAACATTGAAATTTTAATCCAATATCCACACGATATGGAATCTCAAAATCAGCACGAGTTAAATAAGAGAAAAAAATTATGGTAATGTTATTCAGTTAGCTGATTTTTGTTTCTTGTTGATCTTTCTAATTATTTGGTCAAAAAGTAAATGTGTGGATGGTCCTTATGGTTCAGTCATTTAATCAGTTGCATTGTATTGTTACTATATATTAGCCGACATTGAATGAGACAAACAGAAGTTAGCCTCAGGGATGGACTATAGAAATGAAAATTGAGCTAGGGTCTCTGTGATGCTATATGATCCAGCCACCGTTATGGGAAAGTGTATCTGTTCCAGAAGGAAATGAGGCCCAACTGGATTATGATTGTCGTAACTGTCTCCTCCTCCATTGCTCAAGAGCCTGGCTGAATGTCAAGACTCAACAAGACAAAATAGTCACTGAGAATAAGTTGCAGAAGTCTGCCTACAACTGGATTGCTTCTTAACATTTGTTGCCACTTTAGGACAGAAAAGGAGGGAACTGGATGACAGAAATGCTAAATGTACTGGAAAAAGCAGATTAAAGGAATTCCAGAGTCTGATAACATTAGGTAGCTGAACAAAATTCCATCTGTGTGCATTTCATTATTTCTATATTTACTTTCCAAAACTACATTTCATTTCAGGGCATTGATGAGTTTGGGAGCAAAATCATAACTTCAAACTAACCAGATAAGCAGGCTAAGAACTAAATTAAATATTTGACTGTAATGGAATTTTATGAGCCTTTTATGGGGCTTTCATTTGTTCTGATGAATGTATGCTTTTGTTTCTAGCTTTGGCACCTAATTGCCTAGATTTTGAGAGATGGTTTAACAGGTTTTTCCGATAACTCACCATTCGAAATACAGCTTGAATTATTGCACACTGATACTGTTGTAAAACCATGCAAGAATATTGGTCATTAAGAACGTCAAGTGTATGTAACTCCGCAAACTCTCATGTGAGCTATGGAAAATAGCTGATAGCAAGTTTCATATAGCAGTCTGTTGCCTTATTTTCCACACGGTTAGACACAACTAATTCCTACATTCTATATACTAAATATTGGAAAACACTGACATATTAGTTGTTAAACATTTAAAGAATAATTGCAGAAGAATAAGCATGGTCAAATTTGAGTTTGTCAAATCCTCTTGTGAATTACTTAATTGAATATCTTTAATATGCCAATAAATTTGTTTATCTTCTCAAAATTTGAGTTCCATTATCTTCGAGTTAGCCTCCAGCAAAACTGAAATGAAAGAGAAAAGTGCTGCTTACAGAACGCTGTTACAATCTCAGGCTATCTCAAAGGGGTTCGCAGTCAGTTTGTTACTTTCAAAGTGCAGTCATTGTTACGTAGGCAAACAGCATGATGCTAACACACAACAAGTTTCTACTGATAGTATTAAGACAAATAATTTGTGAATCTCTTTTGGTGATGTTTTTGAAAAATAACTGCTGATGAAGACTAGTGCCATGGGACTTTTGTCTTTTCTTAAATAGGCAAATGTGATTGATTGGATTTATTGTCACGTGTACCTACGTACAGCGAAAAGCTTTGTTTGTGAGCAGTAAGCAAGGACGTACAGATTAAAGGATAAAATAAAAACTTGGACAGAGTAAGGCGTACAGGTTGCATCGCATGTCCTGTGCGATGGGGACGTGTGCTAGGCAAGATCAACATTATTTGAGGTGAGAGAATCCATTCAGTCTAACAATGGCAGGGAAGAAGCTGTTCTTGAACCTGCTGGTGAGTGAATTCAAGCTTCTGTATCTTCTGCCTGAATGAAGAGGTTGTAGGAGACCATGACTGGGGTAGGATGGTACTTGGATAATGTTAGAACATAGAACAGTACAGCACAGTACAGGCGCTTCGGCCCACGATGTTGTGCCAAACTTTTACCCTAAACCTAAGGTCTATCTAACCTCCACCCCTACCTTATACTATCATCCATATGCCTATCTAATAGCTGCTTAAATGCCCCTAATGAGGCCGACTCCCCTACCACTCTCCGAGTAAAGAACCTACCTCTGACAGCTCCCCTATATCTACCTCCACTCACTTTTAAACTATGTTGGGAGTCCTTCTGCGGCAACGAGACATATGAATGGAGCCTGTGGATGGGAGGTTGGTTTCCGTGATGGTCCGGGCTGTGCACACAACCTGCTGCAGTTTCATACGGAAATCTACTATAAAGCCACGGACTCCCACAGCTATCTGGACTATACATCCTTACACACCACTTCCTGTAAAGACTCCATCCCATTCTCTCAGTTCCTCCGTCTCCATCGTACATGTTCAGATGAGGCCAACTTCGACAAGAGATCCTCCGAAATGTCCACCTTCTTCCTCAACTGAGGATTTCCCAGCTCCGTTGTCAACAGGCCCTCAACCGGATCCGACCCATCTCCCGCTCTTGCGTCCTCACCCATCTCTTCCCTCCCACAACAGCGATAGGGTTCCCCTTATCCTCACCTACCATCCCACCAGCATCCATGTCCAGAAGATCATCAGACGCCATTTCCGCCACCTCCAACGAGATGCCACCTCCCCTCCCTTGTCCGCCTTCCACAGGGACCATTCCCTCTGGGACACCCTGATCCACACTTCCTTCACACCCAACACCCTCCCCACAGCCCTACGGCACCTTCCCCTGTAACCGGCGAAGGTGCAATACCTGCCCATTTACCTCCTCCCTACCCACTATCCAAAGGCCCAAACATACCTTCCAGGTGAAGCAGCACTTCATCTGCACTTCCCAGAATCTAGTCTACTGCATTCGCTGCTCACAATGTGTTCTCCTGTACATTGGGGAAACTAAGCATAGACTGGGTGACTGCTTCACAGAACATCTATGTTCTGCTCGCAAAAAGACCCTGAACTACCTGTTGCCTGCCACTTTTACACACCACCCTGCTCTCTGGCCAACATCTCTGTCTCTGGCTTGCTGCAGTGTTCCAGCGAAGCTCAACAAAAGCTGGAAGACCAGCACCTCATTTTCCGGTTGAGGACTCTGCAGCCCTCCGGACCCAATATCCAGTTCAATAATTTTATGGCCTAAAGTCTCCCATGTTCCAGTCCCCTACCCCACACACCAGGCCTTGTTACCACATAGCCTGCCATTAAACACCACCTGTTGTTAGTTACTAACAGTCCCCATTAACAACTATTCACCCTCCCAGCCTGATCGTTAGCAACTCCTTTGTCTGTCCAACTGTTCTTCTCGCTCTTTAGGCTCTATCCTAACGTTTACTCCCTACCCCGCCCACCTCCCTATGTTCTGCATATAAACTGATGTTTTCCATGGCACCATCAGTTCTGAGGAAGGGTCACCGGACCTGAAACATTAACTCTGTTTTTCTCTTCACAGATGTTGCCAGACCTGCTGAGCTTTTCCAGCAACTCTGTTTTTATTGATAGTTTCATATGGTCGTGGGCAGAGCAATGCCTTACCAGGCCGTTATGCACCCAGACAGTTTGCTTTCAATGGTGCATCTGTAGAAGTGGGTGAGGGTCCTTCTGGACACGTCAAATCCCCTGAGCCACCTGAGGAAGAAAAGGCATTGTTGTGCCTTCTTGACTGTCGCACCTAAGCGGGAAGCCCAGGGCGGGTTGTCCTGGTCTTACAATAGACTTAATATCTTCGTCAAAAGATAGTGCCTCTCCCTCTGAAAATGCAGGAGTCTGTCAGAACTGTAGTGATGAGTCAGATAGCTTTGTGTGGCTAAGTCCCAGGAGTGACAAGAATGCCATCCATGACCAGTTGACACATATAGCTGACTGAACGAGGGTAAATGATAATTCTGGATTGACAGTGACCTATTATCAATAACAAGTCATGACAGGTGAGTTGTCCTTATTGGCAATTAATCCATTCAGTACCAGTAATTCATTTTGAATTCTATTATTTTTAAGCAGAACACTAGAATATTACTCACTGCTGTTCAGAGTCTGTGAAATGCAGGTCAAGCTTCAGCTGAAAGTCTACTTCATTCAACGCTTCTTCCACCTGCAAAATGAATTATAAGAATTAAAAAAAGGTTGCTCTGCTCCGTGACAGAAATATAAATTTGACATAATAGTTATTTGATAGAAACAATGTTCGTGAGTATCACTGTACAAAGAAAAGAGATATGCTTCCAGCTCTTTTCATCTTCCACGGATCAATTCAGAATCACAAGAAAACCAAATTTCAAAGCAAACAACAACTTGTACTGCATGAGAAATGGGTGTGAATGTTGCCATGCAGAGTGTAAGCCGACAGTTATTCACAAGCTTCTGTTCAAATTCAAACCAGGCAAATTGATTCTGATTGATCGAGGTGTTGCCATTGTGATTGCCCAGGGAAATGGTGGGCCTTGACTCTTTGTTCAACTAAACTGAGTAAATGCTGGGTCATTCTCCTTTACAAGTCAAAACATTTTCTGAGTCTGAATAACTGTTGTTTGTCAAATCACATGGCAGACTACAGGTAGAACAAGTGAGAGCATGATGGGCTGAGTAGCCTCGAGGTAACAATTCTGTTTAAGTCACATCCTTGCAACCAAAAAAGAGCTCTGTGAATGAGCTATGTGGGGACCTCTGCACAATTTCATGTAATTTGCTCGTGAGGATGGAAATACCCACTTTCTCAAAATATCTCGGATGAAGTTTGATGCTCCATGCAAGTGGGCTTGAAGGGTTCACTAAATTGACACTAGGCTGTCTCGTACCTATCCATGCAACCTGCCTCCTAATTCACAGGGGGGACAGTGGAGGGCAGGATGCATGTACTTGGTCCTATTGAAGCCCATAAATAGCCAACTCACCCAAGTGCCTATTACTCCTCCCCCAGTATTTTATACACATTGGAATGAAGTCCAAACCAAAAGGGAAGGCTGGCAGCTTTAGCTTCCCATCTGCCCACTGGAGGGGAATCAGAGCTGTACAACCAACTTTAAACTGGCTCCTATGGTACCTGCCTCCCACATCCCTCACACAACCCTCACAGTTAGCCAGCCAGCACAGCAAGAATGCCTCCACCTTGGTTTGAGACAAGAGCACACGAGAAACCCGTTTGATAGACTGAACTTGTCCTTCGCGTATTTCTTTTTGTTTGTCACTGCAGATCATAAGGTGCAGAAGCCCAACCCCATGGATAAAAGCAGCGACTCCATCTCTGACAAGGAAGACTTACCAAGGCCTGTTTTCTGCCTCTCCAGTACTGCTACAATCACATGCTTCTTGGAGGATTCAAGATATAGAACTGGGGCAGATGCTGATCAACAATCCACACACATGCATCAGGAGCTGAGGGAGGTGTATCAAGGTCAGGTCTCCGACAGTGACATATCAGGCCCCACATCGATGAAAAGTCCGTTGTATTTTCTGGGCCACAAGAAGATACAGAGATGAATGGGAAGGAGGGGTTGGAAATACGAGGTGGCGGAGGCTATGCTGACTCGTGCACAGGTGAAGAGCCCATCTTTGGGTTCTGTCATGGTTGCAGCACAGGGGCACATGGCTTTCTTCATGAAGAGTTTGGCAATCATTGTAGGGAGCCAGGTTTACCATGCAATCCATATATACACGAAGCTGGACATTCATCGCCCTGAGAAAGGGTTCAGTACTGCAGTGTCTAAGCAAGAGAGAATTGAAACACCTGGACCATACTCATACCATATGGAAATATCACAGAAAAGGAAATGATATTGGACAAACACACTGGAGTTTTTTCAGGGTGTTCACAGCAGACTAGACAAGAAGGAATAAGTGGATGGTGTATTTTGTAGTTTCAGAAAGCTCTCAATATGATGTTACAAATGTTAATAAGTAAAATTAAAACAATGGGATAAGTTGCAATATCCTGCATTGAGGTTTAGGTACTGAAATGATAATGAAAAGAAAAACAAACAAGAGAAAGAATAAACAAGTCATGCTCAGGTTGGCATGCTACAAATATTGAGGTACTGCTAGGATCAGTGCTTCAACCCCAGTTGACTAAGATGTAAGGACCAAATATAAAATTTCCATACTTGTGGATGGTACAAAACAAAATGGAAGTTTAAGTATTGAAGAGGATGCAAACAGTCGCATGGCAATTTCAAAAGACTGGGTAAGCAGGCAAGAACATGATAGATGGAATATCATGTCTTATGGCTGCTTCATATTTAATTGTTTTTCGTCCTTGGGTTTGAAGGATGAAGGATAGAAGGACAGTGGATTTTTTCTTTGGCAAGATATTGCTTGAAAGGCACACATGGTGATCCATGGAGGAGTCATCTCAAATAGGCTGAGGAAGCAGTCTGACCTGGGACTGGAAGTTCATTCCCAAAGAAATCTGGACCTTAATCCTGGGAATTTGGAGCAGGGTTGCTGGTCTGATTCCAAACCTTGAAGAGTTATCTGCTCCCAGGGAGGCTATCCTATCGCTGACTCTGGCATGCAACCTTATCGTCTGAGGAATGGGAGCTGTCTGTTGGATTCTGATGGTGGAGGTGGAGATCAGTGGTCAGAGGAGAAGCAGTCCTGCTCCATCTTGTCCATGAGGAATGATTCCCTTGACTATTTACCTCACTGCAGCTGCCAGTTTCTTGCACTTGGGACAACCATTAGTATTCAAAGTAGGTTAAACTTGATACTTTCAGCTTCTTCCAAGTATCTATGATGCTATCATACATCCTGGAGTTAACTTGGCTATCCACCTTTTGCCCCATTTCAGTAAAAGCCTGGTCTTGGTGGATTAGCTCAACACGTTTCCATTTTTTGGCCATTAAACGGGCTTATCCATGTTAAAGTCCAAGCCCTTCTCCCCACCATGCATTCTAATTTACAGTAAAAGATAACATTTGTACTAGTACAATGTTATTTATACCAAAAAAATCATACCTATGTCAAAGCCATTTGTCAAACATTTCAAACTTATCATCGTGTAAAAGCTATTCACTTTTTGACAGTTATACAGATAACTTAAACAGATTTTGTTTCAATAACTACAGCAAGAGATATGAGTTATTGCAGCAAATTACAGAAAAATAGTCAAAACACTGCAACAGATTCTGTACATACAAACATTTAAGATCAGGCACTCAAAGAATATCTATGCATTTTGGAAGGTGAAATTTATACTAATAACCTGGACTAGGAGTCTTTTCTGAAGTTGCAATCAACTGCATCCATCAAAAATAATTGTACCACCAACAGGTAAGTACTCAGCTAGAGTAGCTATGTTTAAATGTCCAAACATATCCTAATTACATCGCTGATCTGCTGAGCAGAGAACACAGGGCACCTTAACTAAATTGCCATGGTTGATGAGGATTTCCTTACAGGAAGAACATGAATCAGAGGGAGAAAAATAAAAGCATGAAATGAGCATAAAAGGAGGCAAGAAAAAATTGCCCTATACTGCCCGTGCTCTCTCATACCACAACAAAGAAATGTATAAGAACTTCAAAAACACAATTGGATTCTCTGAAGGGAAGCTTTTTAACCAGATTGCTGATTCTTGACTGTTACTGATTTTTCCCATTACCCACTATTTAATATTGGCCAGTTGCTCTGGCAACACAAAAATCACTGCATCTTATAGATTATTCGATCATCTCAACACGTAACAATTATTATGCCTTACAGCTGGCATGTCTTGTTCAAACTAATTGTCTATTTGAAAACTAGACACTCTCAAAGTCCCAGGTCACCTGATTCCTATTGTGGATCTCAACCATTCCTCAATTTCAAGAAGAAACAAAGGGCCTTGCAGACTAATGTGCTTCAAAACTGACTTTTAATCAATCAAAAAGGGTATTATCAATTGAATGGGCCAATCAAAACAAGGATACTGGATGTACTCTTTAAGGTGTCAAACCACACCATGGGATGTTAGAATCAACATAAACACCACTGCTTTCTTTCTACATTTTTTTTAAGATCAGTGAAAACTATTTGCAAGAGGGTCCACCAAATCCATCGAATCAACAGTTCAGCGAACAGAAATCCTGACCACAATTAGCTACAAGTTCACCAGGCAGTCAAAAGTAATTAGTAGCAAATACAATGAAAGTGGGATATTCCAATATAGAGGAGTCCTCTGAAATAGTAGGAACAGCCGATGCTGGAGTCTGAGGTAACAAGGTCTGGACATAGCAGGCCAGGCAGCATCAGAGGAGCAGGAAAGCTGACGTTTCGGGTCTAGACTCTTGACCTAGAGGAGTCCTCTGATCTGTTCCAACTTTAAGGTCACCTGAAACAGCACAGAAACTTGACTCTAGTTAACTTTACAGCCCGCGGACTCTGCCTTCAACTTTAAACCACTTTACTATCCAAGGAACTACAGGCATACCATGCCACTATGAGGGAGGTCAGAGATTGTAAATCAGTGACTTAGATAATTATTAAGTGCAACCTTCAACAATACCTAATCTTTGTGTGTTGAGTGTGGGACCTGAGTTTTAATTCAGAGTAAATGTGAGAAAAAATTTCCTTTATTTTAAAACTCAAAGCCTGCTGCTGAGTTATTGAATTGGGATTTATACTCCCAACAGAAAGAAAACACATATTTCATTCATCACAAATCAAACAGATTTGCAGGCAAAAGGAAGCATTCAAATTCTTTCCAGTATTTCTATTTCAAATCAAATATCTATTCTGTTTCTTTTTCAAAGTCGTTAATTAACTGTGCCAAACATTTGAAATAAAAGCCAAGTGCTGTGAATCCAGGAAATAAAACCAGAAGTTGTTGTCTCTTCAAAAGAAATGTAATGGGTTGGAAGCATTAACTTTGGGCAGAATTATTCCAGGCTCTGAACAATGTGGGCATTGGTTAAAAAGTTGGATGTTGCCAGGAAGGAACTTCTCAACATCAAGAGCAATGAATCCCATTTTCCAACCAAGTTCTGAATGGCAAAACGAGATGTTCACTAGTGAGTGGCAACAGGCTTATTTTCACGTATCAGCATGCATTATGATCTGATTATCATGTAATCCCACCTCACTTATATCCAGCTTCCCATTTTCCCACCTGCTGGACAG